GCCATCAAACCCTCCCATTTTAGTGTAAGTCACTCTTGTCCCCTCCTGTCAAAGCCAGAACTTGTTCATTCTCAGGGCCACAGCTGCTGACAGAATGCAGTTTGAGATCTCCAGACCTGACCTATCATTTCCTCGTAGACCCAGTCTTACCACCCAAAGACTTTCTGAGATCAGTATTTCCAGTCTTTCTCCAAGTCTTCAGACCTCCAAATCTGATCACCAGGAAATGATTAACCAATCAAGAAATTTATATCGTGTCTTCTATAGGCCAATGGTATGTAATATATAACAGGTGACAAGTAATGAAATCCTCTAAATCATCTTTTCTGCTAAGATGTTAATACCCTCCCTGCAAGAATAAAGCTAATGAACAGGCAACAAGTAGAGACTCTCATGGTAGTGATTGTCAAAAGCTCAGAAAAGTTACTGTTCATTGAGCACCTCTAAGATTTCAGGCCCTTTAAATGTTTAAAAGCAGGTTTGGGCCAGGGATTTAGCTCAGTGGCATAAGAGCCTGCCTGGCAAGCGCGAGGTCGTGAGTTAGATCCCCAGTACTACAAAAATAAATAAATAAATAAATAAATAAAAATAAATAAAAGCAATGCTTAATTTAGTTGTTCAGAAATTATGAGAGGATGGTGCTATCATTACTCCCATTTTACAAAACAGAACCTCAAGAGAGACCAAGTAAGGTAAGTGCAAGGTCACATAGCCAATAAGCAGCAGAGTAGAACTTTGGGTCCCTACTCCATGTGACAGCTACTCTGAGTCAAGAAACAGAGCCAGGTGGGATGGCATAGCAGGGGCAGCTTCATGGAGGAGGTAGGAACTGACCTAGGCCTTGAAGGGACCTCTAAGAGAATGAGGGCATTCTAGAAAAATCTGAGTCAAACACAGAAGCATGACTGTGAAGCCGGGCTTACTGGTAGACCTGCTGGACGGGTGCAGAGGTTTCATGGTCAGGAAATTAAGTCAGGAAGGCTGGGTGGGGCCAAATGACAACACACTGCAGCTTCCTCCTTGAGCAGGAAGGGCTGCTGCTGCTTGCCCTGGGTTCCTAGGAAAACACTCCACCTCAAATCCAGGTATTCCATTTCAGAGAGCAGCCTATGGCTTTCTACTCTGATCATTCTCCCCTCTCTGAAATACTGGCCCCATATTCCTAATTCTCAGACACTGGGAAGCAGTTTCTCTCCTCTAGACCCTTCCTGCCAGCCAGCTTTTACCCATACAGCATCCCTTTGTGAATCTCTTCTTTCCTTTTAGTTTTAACCTTTTCCAAAGAGGGGAAGGACTAGGTTTGTTTTTTTTTTCTTCTAATTATTAGTTCATTGCCACTGGCTTCCACATGATAGAGGTAACACTGCCTGATTGTTTACATATAATTTCCCAATTTGTGCTAACAGGGTCACAGCCTTCATGATTGTTTCTGGAAACCTTCAATTTGAGATTTGTAGGGATTCAGATCAATGTACCTGTGTTTCTTATTCCTTGACTTGTACACTAGGTCAACACTGGGTGATTTAATTTGAACCTTTTTCCCCAAGAAAACTCACGCTACCTAATGGAAATAATCCGGCACTGAGGCCACAACTTGCCAAACACTGCTACAACAGAAACCTCAACCAAGCAATAAAAAGCAGCTCTGGCTACAATGGAAAATGAAGCAAGCTCCTGCCAAGTACTTCGCAAACAGTAAAAATGGAACGTGGAACTCGTGACCAGTGGTTATCGGCGAATCTCAGAAAGGTCCCTCAGAATCCGAAATGGAGCCTCGAGAACCGACTCTCTGCTTGGGAAATAAGAGCGTCGCTTTAAGAAGAGACTGGACCAGCTGGCTGCACTACAGCTCCCAGAGATTTCCTGGCTCGCGTCCTGGCCCCGCCCCCCAGCCGCCGGCCTCAGCAACGTGTGACGTCACAAGATATCGAAGCTGCCGATTGGTTGAATGGTACAGCTAGGTCAAGTCCAGTCAGAGGAAAGAAGTTTGTCTCCATGTGGAAACCATGTGTCTCGAGCTGGGAGGGGGGAATAGGAGGAGGAGGCGGAGAAACTGAGATCAAGTGATTACAGACAGGGGAACTAGCTGAAATGAAGGCGAGGAGGTTGTGCACCTGAGCCGGCTAGCAATGCCCTTTGCAGTAGTGACCTAAAAAAGAAAAAAAAAAAAAAAAAAAAGACTTGCACAACAAACAAAACCTAAGCGCCCCCATCCCCCACCCCGACTTCATAATTTAAAAGCTACGGTCCTTGTTTTCTTCCAAAAAACAGGGGCCTGGGAAATGCTGGAATCCTATCGGAACGCCCAGATTCGTCTCCCTCCCCCAACAACTGAATGATGTAAGCGTTTTGGAAAGCCGAGCTCAAGCAAAACAAGCCCCGCGCACGCGGAGCGACCCGCAATGCCCGAGCCCGGCGCACGCACGACCCGCCCCCCGACTCGCGTTATTGCTGTGCACACGCGGACCGCCGTGACGCGCGGGCATTGTGTGCAGCTAGCAGAAAACAACGGCGAGCGAAGCCAGCGCGAAGAAGCGCCCCCAGTAAAACAAGACAGATGTAGGGCCAGCCGTTTTCCTTTTGGGGAGACCCAGGCCGGGCGGGAAGGAGGAGAGTGAGGAGAATACAGTGTCCCCCACATGGGCCGCTCGGGTTTGCAGAGAGGATAATAGAGGGTCCGGCGGGTGGTCGCATAGAGTTTGCAGGAGGTCACCCACTCCTGCGTACGCTCTTGGGGAGGGGGCAAATGTATAGAGTTGGGTGCCTGCAGCCAACCCAGGGAGGACGCAGCGCCCCACGCTCTCGGGGAAATCTGGGGGCTGCTGGCATCACGTCATTTAGAGCCATACGGCGGCAGCGAAGAAGCGAGAGAGCTAAAAATATTCCTGCGGGGAGCCGGTCGGAGGAGGGGGGATGAGGGGCAGAGGGGCTGATTACCCACATGAAGTTGACTTTGGGGCGCTGGGGCTCCCATGCCCCTCTCGGGGTTTGCGGGTTTGCAGCGCAGGTGGCTCGGGAGCGGGGCTGGAAGGAAGACCCTCGGCTCCCCTGGCCGCGGGCAAGCCGCTCGGCCTCCACCAGCCGGGCCCGCCCCGCGCGGGGCACCCGGCCCGGCGCGTCCGGCTCTCTGCTTACGTGACTGGTGGCCACGCCGGAGCCCCGGCACGGGGTAAACAAGGAGGTGGCGGCGGCCAGGGCGGGGTGTGGGAGGGTGAGGTCGCCGATTGTCTGCGGGTGCAAAAGCGGGGGTGGGGGAGGTCTGGGGGCGCAAACCGGGCTTGCCACACTCTGACAAGGTGCCCTCTTTGGGAGCACCCCCAGTCAGAGCCGGTGCCACGGGACGGATTCCAGAGGACGGGGACCTAAGAGGGGGCAGCTAAGGAAATCGCGCCCCTCCCCCTGCAACAAAAGCAAACGCACCCAACAAAACCGCGTCTTCACCCCGCTCTCCCCCAGCCCTGGCTTTTCAGAAACTATCCTCCAGACAAATTCACACACCGCCACTACACCCCCTCCCACCAATAATCGCCCAGGCTACAGAGACTGCGGTGCGCCTCTCTGGCAACACAGACACGGGGGTGGGGAGAATAGGGAAGAAGAGAAAGAAAAGAACGCACCACGGACTCCGAACACAAACCCTTGGTTTGGTCTCACAAGGTCCCCACAATCGCGCTGCCAGAACACGGTTACTTGAACCCTGCAGGCCAGGGGTGTCGGTTAGCAGAGATGTTTTTTGTGTTTGAGGGTTCTTGGTGTATGGGGGGGGGGGTTTGCGAGATCTGACACGTTGCAATCGGACCTCTCCGAGTCTTTCCTCTCCTCCTCACTTCCTCGAATTTGTCTTCCTACTTGTTCAGACTATTAAACATCCAGTTTGACCCTCTCGGTCGGTCTGTCTGCTTCGGCCCCTGCTTCCTTCTCAGTTATTATTCTGAGCTGTGCTGGAGACGCAGCACGCGCATGTCCCCTCCCTCCCCCGGGCGCGGAGTCTACTGCCCAGGGAGGGCTGGGGACCCGGCTGGCAGGGACAGAAATGAAACAAATACAAAAAGGAAGCCAGGCCACGGTGGGGTTCCCAAGTGCCCCCCTCCCTGCGCACTTCATGCGCCGCTCTCCACCTGAAGGGGGGGGGTCGACCCAGGAAGCGTTTTCCGTGCTGCCCCGCGCCCTCACTAGGGAACCCACTACCGGAAAATAACCCGCACACAACAACCCACACCTTCTTCCCCAACTATTGTTTCTGCGAGGTCCCAAAGTTTCCTCCCAGCCGCGTCCCTCTTGCCAAGTTTCCCCAGCGCGGGGCTGCGGGTCCCGGGCGAGCTGCCGCCGCTGCCTGCCCCACCGGCCTGTTGGTTTGGGGGCCGAGGGCGGTGTCACCCCAGGGGAATGGGGGCGCAGGGGATCGTGCCGGCGCACACGATGATAGCAGCCCAATCTTGCTGCTCCCAGAAGGGAGAAAGCGAGGCAGACGAGAAGGCGAGAAGGAGCACGAGCCCACGCTGCCCAGAGCGGCTTGGTGGCGGCGATTGTTATTGTTGTAGTGTGTGTTTTCTTTCTGGAACCCCTGAGCTCTGCGGACGGTCCCAACTTTCGGCTTCTAATCTCTACCCCACCCCAGAACGAGCGACAGAAAAACACTTGTCTATCGGAGAAGGCTCTGGGAATTTAAAAAATTAAAAAAGGAAGAAAGGCTACCTCGAAACGAGGAGCTCTGGCTGGGCTCAGTTGTCAGCAAAACACCACCACTCCCGGCTCCCCGGCGGGCGCTCCCCCGCCGGCCGAGACAGACAGACTGACGCGCCGACAGGCCCCCTCTCCCAGCGCCCGTCTTTGTTACATCTTTAGCAGCTTTGTGCATGCGTGCGTGTCCTTTCTCCGGTGTCATCGGCTTTACCGCCGAGGGTGAATGTGTGTGTTGGGGGGGTGGGGGGGACAGGGGTCGCTCAAGTGGGCTAGAAAGAAAGCAGGGCGCCAGAGAGAAACCGGGCCCCCAAACTTACTTTTGTTTTCTTTCTCGATCTGCTCCAGGTAGCTGGCTGCCTCGAGCAGAATCTGCACGTTCTGCAGAAAAGTGTTGATGTGCTTCTCCATCGAGTTCTCGCTGGTGTTGAAAATGTCCGAGAAGGGGCACCTGGGCTTGGCCCCCGCTAACTCCTCCGGCTGGGCTGGGGGCTGGGGCGCGGCCGGGGGTGCGGAGGGGACCGGCCCCGCGCCCTCGCCGCGCGCCTCCTTGCGCGGCCGCCCGCGTTTGCCCATGGAGGCGCGGGGTCCGCTGAGCTCGCCCTGGATCGGGCTACGCGGCCCGGCCGAGCTCCGGGCCCCTGGGGAGCCCCGGCCTGCTGGAGCGGAGGAGGCGCCGGGGCGAGGAGCCGGCCTGACTTCCCGAGCCTCCTCTCTGCGTGCTGTTGTGTGTGTGAGAGTGAGTGTGTGTGTGTGCGTGTGCGCGTGTGTGTGTCTCGCTGTGGGTCTGTGTGTATGGGAGATTGAATGAACCTACAGGACAGACGGAGGCGCTCTGGCGCCTGGGTCCTAGTGCGAGCCTGTCACCATCGACCGGTCAAAATAAAAGGTGGAGACTCGCACGGCTGGGACCGCCCCCGGGCCGCGTCCCTACACCCTTCCCAGACTCTCCAAATCTGAGCACCGGGTACCGCATTCTTGTAACCAGAAAGGAAAAAAAAAAAAAAAAAGTTGTCTCTGCACCTGCTTAAAAACAAATTGTTATTTACAGAAACATAATACTTCGAAAAGCGACCAACACAATGCCTGGCACACGGGGTCCCGGATAAATGGTGGCTGGTACTTTTTTTTTTTTTTTTAATAAAAAGCCAGTTCAAATGGGGAGAGTTGAATCATCACACGTGACTGAAACCTTCCTTCAATTCAACCCCCATCCCCACCTCTCTCCCTCTTTCTCTGTGTCTCTGTCTACACACACACACACACACACACACACACACACACACACACAGAGGGACCTGTGTGTGCCTTCACACAGCCAAATAAAACCTTGCCAAGCCCGGGTTACCGATTTACTTGTTCCTTTGCAGCCCTTCAAATGCAAAGTTTCCTTCCAGGAAGGGGGCGGAGATGTGAGGTCTGTCCACACTCCCCTCTTGGCCAGTCCAGCTGTGTAAAGCTCACCGCAGGGGGCTTCCCCACCTGCTCCCTTTCTTTGACAGAGGGTACAAAGGCAGAACTAGAGCTCGGGAACCACCTCCTCGCCTATCAGGTGAATTTCTCCTTTTGGATTCTGCTGTAGTTTCAGGCCGTGGTTTCACAGCTTCTGCATGGAGGCGAGCAGGTGGAAGACTTTACAGGGTCACAGAGAAAGGTTCCAAACCCAGGCTTGCTGCATGGGCCCTGGACGAGCTAGGGCAAAGCCCTTAACCTCTGTTGGTCTAAGTTTCCTATCCTTGAAACTTCGAAGATATTTATTCATATCTGCTCTTAGCCTGCTCTGGTCCATAGCAAGATATTTTTCTGCCAGGACCTGGGTTCCTGGCTCTGATGTAACTTGACTCTAAGAAGGGGCTGTGTAAACAAGCTCTTCTGTGTTTCACCAGAAAAGCACCTTTCCAGCAAGCCTGTCCAACCACTGCCACCCTGCAAGGCCATCTGGAGTTTTCCTTGCACAGAGGAAACACTGCCCCCTGGAGTTGTGCCACTCTGTCACCATGTTCAGGAGCACTTATCACAAAGAATCCTACTGCAAATGGAAACCTTTGGACCAGAGGAAGGTACATTGTAAAATGCTTTGTGAGACTCAGAGAATATTATACGCACATGGCCTCTCATGGGGCCTTCAAGAAAGGTTTTTTGCACTTTTTAAAAAATATAATAACCTGCTACTGGTACTCCAGGAGCAGTCAGTAGCTGGCATTTTGAAGCAAATATGTTCACATTTTGGAGCATAACATATATCATTCCACAGACACTCTTTGTTCAGTTTTCATTCCGTGACAAATTCGGTTTGGGTGATTATCAGCACCATTACTGACTTTTTGGTTTACGCCGGAACCTCAACCTGATCTATTCATGTTGAAAGGCCCACAAGCACCTCTGAGGGCCTGAGGAAGTCATGGTACATGCACAATTGCAAACACACACTACCCAACGCCATTTTGCAAAAACGGATGCTTGGATGAAATCTAATTTCCCCAAAATAAAAGACAAGCATGAGGCAACAAACCAGCTGGCCCAGAGGAAATCTTGGTTTCACTTTAATTCCTCAGTGGTGGGGTAGATCGCACGTCCACGACTACAGCACATATGTGTGTGCACACATTCACTAAGGCAGGCATACCCCCTACACGAGTGCTAGGGCAGGGGAAGTGAGTTTAGTGATTATTTATTCTCTGTTCCATCTCTCATAAGTCTAGGAGCTTTAGAAAACCCAGTGGGAATCTTCAAGCTGGGCCATGGATCTGACTATCGCCAAAACAAACAGTGGCTTGAAGAAAATCTACAAAAAAGTGATTATTTGCACTATTCCCACAGTCAGCCCAGCCCCCACCACCATTCCCATGGAAAACCCTACTGCTTAGGCCAAATCAAGCTTTCCCCCATGGTAGAGGGGTATTGTTTTTTGTTATTATGTGAGTTCTTAGCATCAGACAATGGCACCACAAGAGACAGGGGGCAGGAGAAATGCCTTTTTGTTTCACAAACTCTTTGCTATTGTGGCCCTCAGGGCCTTGCCTATGCTTTGGTGGTGTGTGTTCATCTTGGCATCACATATGTGAAGCCATGAATGTACCACACTAAGGTCTGAAGCCCCGTGGTCATTTGAGTTTCAGAGCCCATCAAGTGTTAAACCATATTAGCATTGCATAGCTCTCTTTCTCCTCGCCTTCCATCCCCAATTAACAGGTTTCTCTAATAAACTTTGGCCGCAAAGGGAAGAATGGTGTGCAGGGGTTACACCACAGGACAAGCATCCAGGATGCTGGACTACAAGCTCGGCTCCATTCTCGATTAGCTTTGCTTCCCGGGAGGAGCCATTCAAAACCCTTGTAAACTCGCACCCCTGTTTCCAGAAGTAAACAGGCAGCTCTGGAAACATGCTGAGAATATCTGCAGAAAATAGGTAGGGGCTAGAATGCAGCCACCTGATACCAAGGTGTGTGAGCTCTTTGAAAGAAAAACCAAAAATGCCCAAGGAGGTCCATCCCACAGCACCTATAGGGCTCCTGATTGGCCCGGGATATCTGAGGTGTGTGGTGCTTAGCCAGAGCCTTGTTTTCCCAAACTTTGTTTATCTTAGTTGCTTGTCTGGTCATATTTTTCCATCAGCCTTGTTTACATATTAAAGCAAAATTGTTCTCTTTTTTATTTACCCTTCTTTCCACCCAGACAATCTACACTCTTACATCAAAGGAGTTGTTTTGCCTGTAATTATTGTCTTTATGTACACAGAGCCTGGTTAATTACTAAGAAGGTGCTAGAAGAGTTGAAGTGAAGACCTCCCATCGACCACTGAGATGCATGCTCCTCCCTCCCTCAGGGACCGCTGGGCTTGGACCAACCTCCTCAGGTATCCTGGGCTCCTCAGCTGTGTTGTTCCTCCCTCATCCTCCCTGGCCCTTTCTGTTTAAATTCTGCAGCTTCTAGCTTCTCCTTGGATCTTGCCAAAAAGTCCCAGTCTGGTTCTTCCCTCTTCTTTGCCCTGTGCAATTTGTACTCAGATGTGATAAACACTAGCAAGAGATCTTCTATACCCTATGTTGTCATTTGTGTTCTGATCCCCAGAACACCCTAGCCACGCTTTTCCTGGGCACCTTTCCTTTTGAAAAGGGATTCTCTGACAATAAGGTGAAGAGCTGGCTACCAGCTCCTTTCCTTTGAGGGCCTTAATCTTGCCATCACCTATTAGGAAGCAAGGCTCCATGCAATGCCTGGGAATGGAGCGTTAGGAACTTAAGCCACAGATGAACAGAAACAAAGGGAACCTGAGAAAACACCCCTCCCATTAGCTTAAATGTGCTGTGTAGAAAGCTGAGCATGGTGGCAAATACCTATAGTCCAAGTTATTCTGAAGGCAGAGGCAGGAGGATCATTTAAATTCACAAGTTCGAGACCAGCCTTAGAAATATAGAAAGACATCGTATTTAGAAAAATAAAATGCAGACTAGCTTCTTTCGACGATTTTCCAAACCCCCATGCCAGCCAATGTGGACAGCAGTGGATAGACCGTGCCTGCCAGACTCTGGGCTCTGGGGCTTCCCCTCTCCTTGCCGGGCTTCTGCCCTCCCTTTGCCAGCACCTGTCTGGCAAGCTCCTTCCTGGCTCAGTTATCTATGCAATGCTCAGTGCTTATAGGAAAGCAGGGGAGTAAAGCAGGGAGCAACTCCTGTGCCTGGGGTTGGGGTGCCTGAGGCCCAAAACAGGGGTGCAGATCACAAGGGAGGAAGCCGTAGATTCCCTTTCCTACCGCTGGCCCGACCTGCCTTCCTTGCTTCCATGTGGCGAGAAGAGGCATTTGGCATCTGCAGAAGCACTCTTGCATCGGTCACATTAAAGTTTAACTACATAAGTGATTTCTTCTTGGAGAAGCCAGAAATCCACTGAGCCAGTGGTTGAGGTTCCTCTAGCAAGAAGTAAGTTCAGAGGTCCAGCTGTCCTTCTCCCTGTCCACGCTGCTGGTAAAAGAGCCCGGGACAAGACAGGGTTCCTCTGTAATAAGATGCCTCTGGTGGACAGTTTTCCAAAAACACCAAGACAGAGGCTTGAGACCCTATTAGGAATCATACGGAGCTGTATTTACATCTCCTTCTCAGTCTTTTAGGTCCCCAGTTTCTTTAACACCCTCTTCTTTAAAAGATGAATTCAACAGCCTCTACTGTATTGCAACACTAGAAGGCTGAGGCAGGAGGATCCCAAGTTCTAGCCAGCGTAGGCAGTTTGGTGATTTAGCAACACTTTGTCTCAAAATAAAAAAATAAAAGGACTGGGCATGTAGGTCAGTGTGAAGGCCTTGGAATCAATAGTTTTTAAAAATTCAGCAAAAGCATTTTTTGTACCCTGACTAGCACTGGTTTATACATGATTCTTTCCCAAGGTATTTAAAAATTAAAAGGTGGCCAATGCCTGCTTTAAGCTAAAGGAATAAAGCTCCAGTGGTAAAGGGGGCCTGCAGGGCACGCCAGGGAAAGGGAGTTCCTGGCTGACAGAATGCCTTTCGCCTGGTCACCAGGGGAAGACCCTCAGCTCCTCAGGGCTCCAGTGTCCTCATGGGGGAGCAGTAGTGACAGAGCCTGCCTGGAGGAGGGACGCACAGAAAGAAAGTTCGAAAGGACAAAGTGTGGCACACATATCTGGATGGAACCGCACTGGCAGGGGCCCAGAATCTCAGGAAGAACCAAAACAAGCCGCAAAGGAGGGGCGAGAGTTAGACGATCAGAGTTTGGGGCCAGCTCTTCCCCCCACTCTATGGGTAATTTTGGAGGACACTGCCAGCTGGGCTCCCAGGTCCTCACCTGCGAAGGGGGC